TAAGCGAAACGAAGATAATACCTTAAAGAAGGTCCACGTCAAAACATTTGATTGTATTAATATTTATAGGCATCGAATCGCCGCGGGACAAGAGATCTTGAGATCAAAAAAAAAAAACCGCTCATCATACATTTAGCTTTTGAGTAAACCGCAAATCCTTTGTTGGGGAATATTTATGACATTTAAACAATCGTTGTTACCATTATGTCACATATTACAATGACATTATTTGACTTCTAACTAAATTGAGATAACTTCATTCATGTTATTTAATAGTGCATTCAACTTTTTTTATAATAAAAATCTTTTAATAGTAAATCAAAATTTTTGACGTACACGAAATATAATGTACATACTAAATCATAAAATGTATTAAAAAAAGAATATTTTTGAGGTTTGACAATACGTTTATACGTTTTATTAAAAAAATTAAGCCTAATGACGGTTATATTAAAAAACTAATTTCTATGAGTTACGATGAGTTATATCGAAATTATCTGAATTATAAGCCTTAGTATACTAACAGTGTAATACATACTCGGATCAAAGGCATTATTATAAAAATAAATGTTATAAAGAGCGTCTTTAAATAGCGGTAGTGTGTTAAAATTACTATAGCGACCTTTGCATCTGTAGACTGCGTCCGGTCAGGATAATTTACGTTATCAATGTACCAGATCTTAATGTATGGGTTAGGAGACAAATATTTACCGCACGCTATATATACTGTTCGCTTCGCTTCTACTGTTATCAATCATAATATTACTAGAGCTATACGTCTGAATAGTTTAGCTGTAGCAATGGAATTTCGTATGTAAAAAGATATAGGCTTAGTTTTGTTCTTAGTAAAATTATCGTAAGAAACTGAAAGATTAATTCCTTTTCTAATACAAAAGCTTTAGTTACTCACAAATCAATTCTATATTAGAACAAAAATACATTTTTATATATGAAATTAATGTAAAAACAATTATAAATGTCCCAATGTATAGAACATTTGAACCGGTTTAAGCGAAGGCATATTTCTATGGTAATATAAAGCTCATATAAGAACCATTGTGCTTAATCAGTGTCTGCTCTGACACGGATTATTGAAACGAAATTAAAACAGGAACAGAGAGCCCATTATGTATGTATGTACGTCATTACACGGTTACTCCCATCCTTAATTGCTAATATTCACATTTTATTCACAACTCGTAAATTATTAATGAAATTTATTTATATCGTGATATTCATAAGGCTCAGTAAATGTTATTTTAGAACTAAATTCAGTACATTTTTCTCAATATATATGTATATACGTATTGTTATGAAAATATCTTTCCGTTTGTTATAGGTAATACAAAAAAATTACTGGCAGAATACTGACTGTGTAATGAAAAAAGTCGATAATTAGGTAAGTATACGAATTCGCGACAAAAATATCAATTAATGAATTAATATATTATTAGGTATAGTAATTAATAATCCATGTAAACATATTAAGGTCGGTGTATAAGTAGGTGGTTTTGATTTGATGCTCGCTCTAAAGATACGATCTCAGTGAAGGTTATCTAACTAAAATCTTAGTTTGTAACCATTAATAATATTTCAATATACAATCCTTGTTGCATTTGAATTCGCAATCTGTATATACAAGAATTTATATCGAGTTACAGCAATCGATAGAAATAATTATTCGATATAAAATTAAAGGAAAATTGCAAGCATGCACCTGCAAGACAATTTTAAACACCTTTCATACATACCATACAAATGGTTGCGCATGAATGATTAATTCAATTAATTCTAAATATATTTTTTAATGGCTGTTAAATATACGTTTTCTATAAATTCCAATTTCCAATGCAACCGGAGTACGTGTTGGTTCTTGTGTTCACGATGAAAAATAACGGTAGCCCCTTATATTTTATAGCTGGCAAAGTTTTCATCCATAATTGAAGTTCCGATTCCTTAGGGAGAAGGGTTTTCCCTTCGAGACAGGTTCGACGTAATATACTACAATCAAATTTAAGTCCTATCAACAAAGCAATAGATTTCATTTCACATCGCACCCATATTTGAAATGCATTCCGTATTTATTGAGTGATAAGTATAGCAATTAATAATTACATTTCGTAAATACACGTACCTAGTTTTTGCTCAATAAACTCTATAAAACCTACAGATATTTTCAAAGTTAATTATAAAATATTTTACAAAATTGAATGCGTAATAAAAAATAAAACAAAAGTTTAATACCTATATAACAAAATGGCGACTAACTACAAGTTTCGCAAGTCACGGCCGACCAACCAGCGGCCACGGCTTCACTAATCCCTTTACTTTTGCCGGCCATTCGTGTTTTAGAATTATATTTATTAAATGTATAAGCATTTCGTTCATTTAACTTAAGAATTTAATCTCAAATGTTATGTTCTAGAATATTCCGTGTATTTAATCTGAATGTACATCTCAAATCATTTATATATTGTATATAATATCTCGAATCTACTTCTGAGTCGTGATTGCATTGCAGAGATATCCTCGGGGTATTTTGCATTTCTTTGTTGTTCCTTTATATTTTAATTCATGTTTTATTTACTACGTATTTCGTCCAGGTGGGAAATATTATTTCTAATATAGTTAATTCTCAAATAACCGATATTGAGCCCTATATGTTTAGTCTCATTAAAGTTTTATCTCTAACTGTAATTTTCTTAAGCGTTCCCGTTCTGAAAGGCTAGCAATTTGCATTGATTAGAATCGAAACAATTTGCATGGTCTTTAATTTTTATAATAAACATGAATAAATTATTGTAGAAAATGTTGAAGGTGCATTATAATCTATTTATAAATAGCGTATGATTGTGAAAGATTAAAAACAAAATGGCCGTAAAATATTGTGTTCATTAAGATGAAATATTATTATTTCAACGTAGCTGATCTAGATAATATTCGATGTTAACTATTTTATGTTTTTATTGCTATAAATTATAAAACAAAAAAAAAAATAAGATAAAACAGAAACATTATTTTAAACAATTTCATCTTTTTTACACTAATTTAAGATCCATTATTACTAGGCTCCTAAAAAACCTCTATGGTGTGACATTTGAAGTTCATAGTTTTAATAAGTACTGAAATAATCTCTTCTAAATTAAAAACAACTGCATCTATTTAATATGCATTATATTTTATCTGTGGCGATACTGAGATCTGTAATTGACTGTTACATACTTCTATTTCAAGTCATTTGTATCCAAGCCTTAAGGTGTTTATGATTGCTAAAACCGTTCACTCCTAATGGAAGGCTATATGTAACAGAAACACTAATTTTTATAAATCGTTTTTCCGCTATGCTATTTGTTGGCTGAATATACTTGTTCTTTGCCTATTATGTGTACGATTTGATATTTGTTAATAGTTCTAAATTCAAATTTAAAGTATTTTTTTGTTTATAAACATTTACCTAATAGATTATTTGAATTAGGAACCTCAATCCTATTCGTCGGCTGTATAGAGTTATTTCTGTTGTCTCTTATTTGTATAATTTAATGTTTGTTAAGTGTTCTAAATTCAAATTTAAAGGACATTAATCCTGAGAACATTTAATAGGCATAATAGAAATTGAAATATATTAAACCTCAATGCTATTTGTTGACTGAATAGTTCTAGGCTTTTTATTATTATCTTTATCTCTACGAATTATAGAGATCTGCATTTGAAAGCGCATCACTGAAAATCTGTTGGAAATTTAAAAGTTTTGTTTTATAGAGTCAAGAGATTTAAAAACATATTATATCATAATCTAATATAAACTTATCAAAATTATAAGTGATGAGTTTTTCGAGTATAAGCATGAATGTATTTTGTAGCGCTGTTTTTTGTATGATTATTTCGTTAATATGCACTTAGATCAAAAACAGTTATAAAGTCGCGGGATTCAGCTAGCTTCTAATAAGGTATATATAAAATAGCTTTAAACTTAATTAATACAATTTTCATTCTACTTACATCGAATAGAAACGATTGTCTTTATGACATAAGAAATCTCATACAATTTGTTGGATGTATATTCAAAGCTCCTTCTTTTTAAAAATTAATACGTGTTTGTAAACAGTTCTAAATTTAAATTTAAACCATTTTTATTCTATGAAAATTTAATAGACACAATGGACGTTGAAATATAAGAAATCTCAGCACGAATGTCTACCGCTATAAGTTATTGCTACCAAACATGAAGGGCTAACCTCTCACCTTATTTGCATACCGATTACACAAATACTATCATAATAATTAATTAATAATGAATTACTAATGAGGTTTATTATTTTTATTCTTATCATTATTTTAAATTTCGAACGCATTTATCAAACGTAGGCTTACACGAAATTAATTTTTATTTAATAACATTTAATTACAGGCACATTATAAATTTAAGAATAATTTTAAAAACAAAAGAAGAAAAAAAGTATACGAAACTTTGTCAAAGTTCGTTTGAATAAAAAAAAAAATCAATACGAAATACATCTGCCTTCATCGAGATATAACATGTGACATATATAACAGATGTTGTTTTATTATTTGAATATTTCATTTTAAACCAACGCCATCACTGACAAATGAATTCTACATTTTATATTACGAATACGTCATTTTAATTATCCTAAAACAAAGATATTAAAACATCGTTTAGTTAAATTGACAGCTATCTTAGAAAGGAGATTTCGTGGTTAGGTGAGAAAAAAGTCTAAGGTTTTCTGTTAAACAGCCGACAACGAAGCCATTACGCCTTATTATAGAGATCATCCATCAGACGTATTGATAGAACATTAAATACACGCTAATGTTTTATAAACAGATATATAATTTATATTGTCTCCACTTTAACATATAGTAGATACGAAAAAGTTTAATAATTTCATAGCATTAAAAATAAAAGTTTTTGCGATTTCTGAACTGATTAACTAAATTTCTGAACTGATATAATTGTGTGTGTAATAATAAGTACTTACTCTGTCCTAGATGCACTCGCTTCATCCATGGGTATATCTGTGGTGGGTTCGCTTGAGCATTAGCTGATGATTTGGTGTTCTTTGTACTAGTATTATTAGCTTCAGCGCTTTCATTGCTTGATGTGCTTGAAGCTGGGCTTGATATATTCTGATTTATATTAGCTTTATGCTCCACTGGCGACGCTATAGGTGTTGTCAAGCCTAATTTAGTACTAGTGCTTGCTGGATTAACATTGAAGCCGGGTGAAGTTCGTCCCGGGCCTGATGAAGTAGTTAAATCTTGGGGTGAAGCTACTCCTGTGGTTGAGGTTGAGTCCGCGAATTTACAGGCGCTAGCTGTTTGGCTTGTTGGTGTCATTATATTGGGGGATAACGCGCCAGGACTTGGGTTTGTGTGTGGGTGAATATGGGTGGTGTTAGCAAGTCTTTGTGGATGTAGTTGGGTGTAATCTATCATAGCTTGTGGCTGCATATGAGCTCCAGAGGCCGGTGTGGCGTAGGGATGTTGTGGGTAATGGTGGCTGACTTGTGGTGGCGAATAACATGTATTTGGATATGACGATGTGGCATTAGGGTTGTAATAATCAGTCCCGGGTGTCGGAATGCCAGGGTGGTTTTGTTCCACCGGCGTCCCAGTTCGTCCTGGTACTTGATTCCCGTAGCACGAAGCCAGGGAATTCACGAACTGATAGGAACTCATCCCAGCGTTATAATTTAGATCGTTCATTTGTAATGTTTCTGTTTATATATGTGTTATATTATTTTTCAGTTCCCATTCATTGTTGTGTTCTATAGGGACATGTTGAGTGCTTTTGATCTTCACAATTGTCCACTACTTGCTTGATTGATGGACCTGTGGTGAAAAGTAGCATTAGTTTGATATACCTTGAGAACATGTTACGAGAATACTTTGGATCTATTTATTATATTAACTATAGTTTTAAATAAGAATACAATATGTATTAAATATCACTAAATCTTTTAAGCGAATATTTATTTGAATGATATTTTATTTGTGTTTAGAACAAGAATTTAATGTAAATCTTTATTTCGAGTAATTTTAATGCTTACGATTTATTATAATTTAATTTTAATATAAAAATGCTACTGATATTGAAATGATAGAATATAAGATTGTACTTATTTTAATAATATATCTTTGGTTATGAAACTTCTCATTTTAATGACATAATTTTTATATTTCCTATACAAAGATCGCGTAATTGAATTCTAACGTATCTTTACGTTATTAATACATATAATATATTTTCTCATAATAACCAAATAATAAACATTGGTTCAAACGGACTAATACGTCCATATGTTATATAAAAAATATGTCAAGTGAGCCACGTGGTGCTATAAAAGTTCTTTATGAGAGTAAGCGGTGGGCCGGAGTTGTTAAATTTATGGTCACCATACTACATACATCTTCATGAGCAAATTAGCAGTCATTGTATCCGATTTATTGTGGATATATGGAACGAATGACGGATGTATATTATTTAATTTAGATAGTTCATTCATATAGTTTTTTTTCATTCATTCGTTTAAATTATTGTATTTATTTGATGCTATTTGAATGTTTATTTGGATATAATTTTGTAGTGAGATAAAATGAATTTGCAAGATTTTTTTGATGTAAAACATAAAATAAGTAGTTATTTGTTAAAATATTTATATTGATTTATTCTTAATATGATTATCCATTATTCTTAATAACTTTATTCCTATATAAAAATTATATCTTTCATGCTTCGACATAAGCAATTTTTAACATAGTATTAAATTTATGAAACTTATTTAATTCTATACGATTCGTATTTATAGTCAAGAACATATTTTACAACCCTCTATAGATACATTCAATTTAAAGAAACAAAGTTACTTATATTGATAAAAGTAAACTTTCTCAAGAGAACTTTGTCGCTCGCTCCGTACAACTTTTATATTAATGAAACTTATTATAAATATATATAATATTAATATTTAATATTATTCAGCTTTAGTAATATCTAATATTCTCGTGACACGCAGACAGCATGTGTGTTTATTTCAGTATCGAAATTTTTGTTCGTCCGCTTCAAGTTAAATGGGCCGGTGGATTTAACTTGCTTTTTTTTTGTTTTTAACCCCCGCCTTAACCTGCCTTTGATGACTTGGGAACAGTTTTAGATTTTACTTCTGTGATGTTCAATGTTATGTTATTTTTGTTATTAATTTTGATTATATTTAGTTTTATGTAGTTTGGGTTTATTGTAATTGTTATTTAATGGAATTAATTTTTTGAGTTGTATATAATATTATATTAAGTAAAGATCTAACTTTATGAATAATAATTTTAACGAAATCCGACGTCGTTTAGAAACTTTTATATGTAACTATAACTATGTTAAATTTTATTTTATAAAATCAATTTTCATTCGCACTTATTAATTAATTCATATTTTAAATATCACTTTATTTTTAATCAATTAGATGTTATTATATTCCAATTAATAATACCAATAAGCTTTAAGCTCTCCTGTCATAAGATATAACACGTATTATCACCGACGCGATTTAATTTTATAACTATTAAAAAATTAAAAACAACAAAAATTTTAAATAAAATAAATATAAAACACACGTATATATAAAAAAATAATTATCAAACGTACCTCATATATAATAAACTATACGTAATATACACAACACTCACAACACAAATAATATAGCAGCGGGCGCGTGCTCTCGCGAGGAAAACCGTACTTGATTTCCCGAAGCGAAGCCGCCAGTGAGCGAGGCGGCGGGGTGGGGGAACACTTACACACCGACACACGCACACAGACACACAGCACGCACACATACACACGCACACAGGCACACGACACGCACACATACACACGCACGTTATACATACTTGATACTATGTCGCTTGCGCTTCTTTGATTATATTAACTTTTTTTTTTTCGGCCAGTCTTCGTTGATAGTATGCAGCCAGTAACAGAAAGGAGTTTTTATAGTTTTAATTAATTGTTTTTTTTTGTACTTATTGAGAATTCTTACAGGATTTCTTACTTGTGTTTTTTTTTGAACTTGGAACTATTTTAATGATTTATTTGTTTTATTGGTTGCATACGATTGTTTGAGTTCAACATGTCTAACTTTTAAATGTAGTTATTCCAACATTTTAAAATATTAAATTTATTTATAATAATATACTATTTTAGTATTATAATTAAAAATTATTAAAAACATTAAAAATCCGGTTGTATTCAATCATGGTCTTACTAAGCGGATGCTCGCAATGTGTCTTTAACTGACTTATAAAAATAACTTAGGTACTTAATATTATTAATTGCATGTTAATACACAACCTTCCTGTAAATTTAAACCTATTTCTTATTTTATATGCCTAGTAGAGTATATATTTACGAATAAAAAGTGCATACCAAATTTCAACAGAAATAATAAAATAGGTAGGTAAAATATGTAAGTATTTGATATTTATATATGTAAGTATATCTACCGTATATTTTATTAATTAATCGATAAATTTCCAGTTTTTTTCCTATAAATGTTACATTTAAATTATTATTATAGTAGTCTAAAGATTTTTATCTTAATGACACGTTATGAAGTAAGAATTTTAATGGTTCCTTGTGAAGTAGGTATTTAATATTTAATGCGTGAGATGAAGCATTAATGTACCTATAACAGCATCCTTGAATCAATTTTAATTAATTTCACACTAGTTTTTTATATACATATTTATTTATATCCACTGAAACTAGTCTCCATACCTACCAAATAAATTAATTAATAGAAATAAAATAAATATTAAATAATTTATCTGAATCAAAGAAATCTTTTAAGTGCTTATAAAAATATATATAGTAATATTCCCTAACAACAATAGCTCATTAAAATTTGTATATACGTAAAAGCAAAATCAGTCACAGTCTAAAAAAAATTACATACATTTCAATCAAAAAAATCCAGTATGTAAATGATAAATGTATGTATTATTATCATCTATTTATTAGTTTTGATATAAAGTAAATCTTTATACTATGGGGTGTTTTTCCCTACAGAGTATTTCCCATGGGCGGTATTTATTACATTTTAATAAGCCACATGACAATACACATGTTTGCACATACCTTGATTTATCTTATGGGGTCGGACCTCTCGCTCTGATAACATATGTTAGAGAGAGATGGATGTATTTAATATACCTACTTGATGAAAATGTAATTGGTTTTACTATAGAATTTTAATTTGATATTTCTTTTTATTTATAATGAACTAAAATTGTTGAGAAATAGATATTGGTGTTAAAAAGGTTTTTGTTATAGAATTTTCTTATAGTAGAGTAAATGTATTTATTCTTATAAGCATGTTAAAGTTATTTTATGTTTAACTAGTGTACACAAAATCATAATCTATTATATATTTTCATACAGTTTCTTACTTGATTTTATCTATTTCATAATCCAACAAGAAAAGTCATCAATGAGATTACTTACTCATTAGACTTATTTAAGTTTGAGTAAATTTACTTAACAATCAAATTGTAAATCAATAATAAATAAAAAAAAATAAGTTTAACTTTTTAAGTCTAATATAACCTCATTTATTTATCATATTTAATTAGAAATAATTATTAAGAAAAAAAAAAAATATATTAGAAAAGTCTATAATATAACATGCATGACTTCACAATACATAATTACAATCAGCACCTGATTTGCAATTGAAAACAAATTTGCATTTATTAGGCTTTGGTGAATATTCATTCCATCTCTATCTTAATATAGCTTTTAGTATATGAGTGAAAGAGACGGCACGATTATGTTGATGTCGTTGCAACAAGCATGCGTGTTGCAGTGGTGGTGGGCGGCGCCCTTTGCGTCTAACGGAGGGCTCTGATTGGTTGAAATTAGTTGGACAGTGGGTTGCGAATATGTTTCGTGAAGTTGGAGATTTTTACAGCGGGAAAGTTTCCGATATGACGTTATATGTGAATAGTTTAAAACGTGCATTAAATATTATAATATATATGATATTAAAATATTATAGTACTATTAAGTATTTTATTATTAAATAAGTAGGTATATAGTTTTAATGTTGTATTACCTAATTCATTTTTGTGATTACTTCATACAGACACACTGATGGTTAAAATTTAAAAATATAATATATTTTTGCTTACGTATTTATACCTACAATAATACTTGACAATTGCCAAGTTACATATTGGCTATAAAAAAACGATAGTCATATCCTAAAACGCAATAGGTATGTACCTAAGTATAATAAGTAATAACTTATTGTAATATTATGAACATCGTTTAGTTCTCTATAGATAACAAGTATTTACCTATTTAAAAATACTAAGTATATATACAAATCCTATTGGTTAATGGTTTCCACTTTCCATTATTTACACTGTTTCTGTTTAATTCTAACTACCCACGTGACTTCAATATCAAAACAATTTTTAATTTTCTAAGAATGCTAGGTATAAGTACTTTTTTAAATTTATCTATATATACATAGATATGTGTGTTTTATTCGACAGCTTCAAATATATCATAGATATTTTATTTTAATTTGTTATGTAAGTAATAAAATATATCTAAGATGAATTAAAATATTTTTTTCTATGACCATTACCTCTTCAGTAGAAATATTATAAAAAGAAATTAAATTCTTATTATATTTTCTATAATATTACATCGT